TCCCAAACCATCTGTTACTCTGGTTTCAGGGAATCTCTGTCTTCCTCTGGCCTCTGAGGGACCTGCATACATGTGGTGCACTGACAAAAATGCAGGCAAAATACACATACACATAAAAATGAAAGTGAATACTTTTTAAAAACAAAAGTAGGTGCTGTCCTTTCTCTTGTATTTACGCTTGTCACTTTGGATTGAGTTCTGCTAAAGAGTCGGGCCTAGGTTTTTTTTTTTTTTTTTCTTTTCTAAGACGATGCTTTCTCTTAATCACATTTAGGTGAACACTGGCAATTTCGAAAACACTTCAGCAGGCTTAATTTCTACCCGTGACCATTTTCAACTTTATCTGAGTCTATGTGTATGCATTGATCTTGGCATTACGGTATGCATAGTCAGGCACAACTGTCCCGATTGTCTGAAGGCACCCCAAGTGGATCTTTCGTTCTTACATCTCTAGAAAACTACAAATACATACACATTTGAAAACTAAGAGTTCTGCAGCGGGACAGAGGCCCCAGGAGTGACTGTGATATTAGTGAATGAGAAAGCAGATGCATTTCGGCTGGGATGAAGCCAGTTTTGTCCTGACCAGTCTATAGCCTTCTTCTTTTGACTTAAATCATCTTGATCTCGCTGATCCTTGACACCTGGAATCATGCTTCTGGAAGTACCCATCAAATCTGTACTCCATGGAACCATCTCTCTCTCTTCAGTTATATAGCACCCTGAATCGAGCATTCATATATTGGGGCCAGACTGTTCTGGAGTACGATGCATTTGGAAAAGAGCATCAGGAAATCGCCTAGCCCATGTGTATGCTAGAAACTACTTATTACAAAAATCTCTCCTTCCCTGCAGTTCTTAGGGGAGCCTGTGGATGAACCCCTTGTTTCCAAGTTCCATAAGGAAACTAGACACAGACCTTCCCAATTTCTTCTCTTCGTTTCAGAAATTGAACCATCTGTCCAGACTACCAATCTGAACAAACGATTGGATAATTGAATCAAACTTTAGTTAGGCAGCTTCCTTTCTTCAGGCTCTGATCTTTGAATTATCTTTGAGTTTAAATAATTTTTTTTAAAAAAATATATAATCAAACTCTGAGGAGACAAAAGAACTTCTTAGAGTTGACTCCCCATAACAAGGGAGACTTCCCCAACTTGCTTCCTCCAACACCTGGCTTTTTATTCTCCTGTGCCTGGCAGCCACAAAGAAAACGCTTTCGGCCTCATCTCTGACATGCTTGTCTTGTTCACTTTGCAATAATGCCCTTGCTCCCATAGCAATATTTTCAAATGAATCTCTGTCTCTAACTCTGCTTTTGTTGCTTGATACATGAAAATGATTGCCATTCTCATCGATTTTCAAGCTAATTTTTTTTTTGTCCATTCCTATGTTCTAATTTTCCTGGTCCTTTAATCTATTTACTGTGGCACTGTACTTATCATAGCTACAAATCTAAATGTAGAAGGATCTCAGACAAGATGGTATTGTCACCATGGAAACCTTTGTGTAGACTGCAATACTAGAGACACATTAGTTTTCTAACTTCCCTGAACTATGAGAAATCTGTAGAACTTTATTAGTGGATGCTGACATGAACCGTGGAAAACTAGAGCCTGATGACATTTGTGGCGGGGTGGGGAGGGGATGAGGATGAGGATGATTTTAAATCTGCACACTAAATTTTCTGAACTATGGGTTTAATAACTGAATTTTTACTGGTGGTTTTTACAGACGGACTTGAAAGAAGTTCAAGTAGTTTATCCCATCGACCTCATGTTGCTCATGATTCAGTGATAAGAAAACCATTGGAATATCATCTGTACCTAGATTAAGTACAAGTAAAACCACGCCTAGGATAGACAGGCAGATCCACTCAGGGTTGCCTGCCACTCTGGAGAGGCTATCCATTTCTGCTATGGTAGCTCCTGTTCTCCTACTCAGTGGTAGCTGGCGTGTTTCCATTCTAAAGCCTCTGTTTCTTATCTGAAAATATTCCCACAGAACATTTCCAATCATCATCTGAATGGGCAAAGTGGCATTTTGTGCCAGGGAAATGGCTTCCCTATGGCAGCCAGGAGACTTCAGCTGTCATACTGGGAGTGTCATTTATGTATGGTGAGCTTCAGGAGGGCTCTTAGCCTCCCTGTTTCTTAATGATAATCAATGCATGCATGTGTGTGTAGATACACAGATGTGTGCTTGTAGGTATATATGGGTGTGTAGGTATGTGTGTGTGAAGGTATGTATGTTTGTACGTGTAGAGGTGTGAGTGTGTGTTGGTATGTTTATGTGTGTGTGTAGGTCGACGTGTGTACGTGTGTGTGGGTATATGTAGGTGTATGTGTAGGTATGTGCATGTGTGTGTGTGTGTGTGTGTGTGTGTGTGTGTGTGTGTGTGTGTAACCCATGGAGGCCAGAAGCATCCAGTCCCCCCAAAGGCAGTTATTGGTAGTCATGAGCCACGTGAGTGCTGAGAAATGAACTTGGGTCCTCTGAAAGAGCAGCAAAGTGCTCTTCACTGCTGAGCCATAGGATAGTCATTTGTTGAGTCACATGCTCTTACTAGGAACAGAAAGAGATGGTGCATGGTAATAAGCACTTATTAATGCTTAAATAATATTACTTATTTTGCATGAGCATCTGATATTTCCAGTAAATTCTCAGCAAAAAAAAAAAAAAAAAACTTTTCCAGAATGCTAGCTGCCTAGGAAAGTAGCAAATCCATCACAATTGCTTAATACTTCTCAATGGGTGACTTGATGAGCTTGGCTGTAAGAAATACTAAAATAAATGCCACAGATAATTTAACAAACATTTATTGTGTGAAATTTATTGTGCTAGGTCCCTTAAGAAATACAAGCTGGATCCGACATGAAATCTGCCCTTTAGGCACTTACAGTCTACCAGGGGGGGATATCAGAAAACGTAACAAGATAGAAGGTCTGAGAGCCCTAAAAGAAGTACAGAGACAGCGTTCTAAGAGTTCACAGGTGAAATTAATTTTAGCTCAGAAACTCATGGGAAACTTCATCAAGAGGAAGTTCATGTTTCACATGACGTAGAAGTGAAATTTAGACACGTGGACAGAGCAAAGATGTCTAGTGCAAAGGCGCAAAGCCCCTGGAAGGTTCTGAGTACAATCAGCTGGAAAGGAACTGCCCAAGATTAGATGGTTGTTTCCAGCTAAGGAGACAGCTGCCACTCGGCCTTGAAGATGTGTTTGCGTGTGCACACACACGTGTGTGAAAGAGTGGGACAGAACTGAAAAGGAAAAGACTAGAATGAGGTTTCCTGAACTGAGGATTCGTAAGTAGTTTTCAACCTGTGTTCTTAAAATATAGATTAAAAAGAAAAAAAAAAGCAGAAAAATGACCCATGCTGATAACTTGGCATACCTCCTAGCCAATCCAAAATTCCAGCCCCAAATATTTCAGTGAGCAATTTCTGATTAACAGCCACGAAATATTGGCTTGCTAGAAATGTAAGGGTTTATTTAGGACAGTAAATATTTAAAAGAAATATTAATCTAATGTGTTGAATTTACATATTTTTAAACTTATTGAATTCATATTTTGAAACAGCTGACTAATGTAAATTTTTTCAAAAAAACACTGAAGTTTTACAAATGGGAATGAGTGACTTTCTATGCAGTCTTTATTCATAGCTATAGGTTTCTGAGATGAAGCAGAGAACTATGGGTTTTAATGTGTGTACACACACACAAGGAGATATGTGTGTGCATATGTCAGAGAAAGACATATAGGGTGGGATAAAAGGAAGAAGAGAGAGTCAGAGAAGGGGATGCTTTATCGAATATTCCTTCTCACTAAAAAAGTCATCTTATAAATTCAATAGGACTATGCAATTCTATCATAATTAGAATTTAATTTATTGAAAAATCTTTATGTTATACTCCTTTTTGCATAATGATACCACTTCTATTTTTAAAATCTGATTAAAAATAGACTTTTAACACCTTGACACTGAGAACGTTTTCAGCATGGGACAGGGGTTCTTCCTGAGCTGTGCAGTTAGGGCTCCAGCCGGGAGGTGCACCTGAAGACAGAATCACCGCTGTCTCTGGGAGAAGGAACTGACTTACATGAGTCCCATCACAGACCACACAGCTCAGGTTTAACTAAAAGCTAATCAAATTAAGCATTCTAGGACATTACCTGCAATGCTTCGGACTGCAAGTTACACACTCTCCAGCCACCCAAAGGCCCTGGCAATGCTGACTTCTTTCTTGGCCTTTCTTGAACATGTGTCTGAGCAAGCAAGAGACATCACTATGAGAGAGGGCACTGGGAACTACTCTTGCAGCTGGCACATCTCGTGCTCCTTACTTTCAAACCGGAGACAATTGCATCCATTCTCCTTCTCCGTGTATGCAGAGCAGACATGTAAGGTCCTGAATAAGTTCATTGATGTTTATGTTATAAAGAGCTCCCGTCGAAATAGTTTTCTGTGGAACATGCAGCAAACTGAATCACCTCACACGTTTTCCCTGGATCATTTTCTGTTTAGTAAACTACTGTCTTCTGCCACCCGTCATTTTGCCACAAGACAGAAAAGAACGTAACGGTATGAAGAGGATGATGTTCGCGGATGCCTGACAAGTCCCTTTTCCACGGTACATTGTTCCAAAGGGCGTTTAAGTAGGAGATACAGAAGCACTATGCAAACCTATTATTACACTGAGAAATCACTAGGCTCAAAGGAGTGATAATGGTATGCTGTTAAAACTCTGAATACATTTTTCAGTGTCGGTATTGAAAAGGAAAACTTTATAAATATGTAAATTTCTGTTCAACAAATCCAAAATAAAATGCACTAAAAAACTGATATGTAGACAAAAGTTTATTTACACCATACAACATTTTAAATATTTTATACACAGCTGCAGCAGAGAAAGCTACTCTGAGCCTTCTAGAGAAAACTGCAATAATAAAGATGTGAAATATATTATTCATATAAAAGTGAGATTATTACTTTATTGCATTTAAAGCAATGAAGAATGTAGCTCAACAAACATTCATTTAATGACAAAAACTTTTGCTTTTATATTATAAAGTAAAAAGTGTAGTAATGGCCAAACAGACTGTTATAAACTTTAAAAACTGCATAAATATATACATTGTGCTTCATGGTGAAGTTTTCTGAAAACTAAACCACATGAAGCTGTTACAACATGAATCGTTGCTTGAGGTTTATCTATAAAGATTGCCTTACAAATCCATTCCACGGGTACTTACAACACGGGGTGGTGAGAACTGTACACTTGGCCGTCTCTCCACTAGCCTGACCAGTGAGAAATTACCATACGGAAACACTGATGTGGGCACAGGAAGGTCCTGACAGAGAGGAGTCACACTGTCCTGGTGGAAATGTCAGGCTTCCCAAGTCTCAGTGTCAGTGTATCTGATTGTGTCTCCACCTCAGTGCGCTTTGATTGTGTTACACTTCGGTTTGAAAGTCACCCTCTTGCACGTCCAGAGGCAAATTCAGACATTTCTCCCACTCCGCAGGCCTCAGCTCCAGAGCATCCTTTGCCTCCGAGTCTAAGACATTGATTGTGGTGTAATGTGGGTATTCGCTGGGGGCCTTGAAAGTGTCCCATGGGTTCTTGTTTGCTGCAGGGTTCTCCTGTTGAGGAGAAGAACAAAGCTGTTAATTTGATTAGTAATTATTGCAGTTTACAGGATTCAGAGATGGTCAACAATTGAGGGGAGTGGCAAACTGTAGTTTAAGTTTAAATTTTCTCTGACAGGACAAAAGCGAAGAATACGCTCCTAAGTTATCACATAGATTTAAGGCATTGAAAGCTGTGAACAGTACCGTGGAAGGCAAAGCAGATGATATGTCTCAGTGTCATTACGACTGCTCAAAGGAAGATGGAGGAGAGTGAAGTTACTGGTAAGAACAAATGTAGAAAATCTGAAGACTGTGGCAGAAATTTTAATGAAGGAAACAGATCTGCATATAGTTCTTAGGACATCCTATTTAATGCTAAACCTAATAGTCATTTACTGAGAAAAAAAATGAAGTCGTTCTTTCCTTCAAGAAATTAGCATATTTGAAACTCATGTGTTGTTATATTTTCTTGCTTTGTGGTTTTTGGATGCTGTTTCTCCGTGATATTTCTGTGATTGGATGACATACCCATCATCCTTCCTTTTAAAGATGAGAGTTGTATGGTAAATGTATCCAGAAATATGGAGGGAGGGGCATTTGGGCATTTGAACATGCGTCTAGCCGCTGGTCCTCAGTGTGCTTTAGTGTGCATGCCTGCACAGCTGCCATCTTGTGATGCTCAGTAAGTCCATGAACCGACTCCTGCAGCAAATAACCAAATACCTGATAATCAAAGATTCACTCATGAACTTGATTTAGTTTAAATCAATGCCATTTAAATATTTCTGTAAGAGGGGGCCGTTTGAATGGTACAGAGTAAGCTGAATATCATCGGTGAACAAGGTGGAAATCATGACTGAACACTCCTTAGAAGAAAATTCAACCCAAGCACGGACACAACCAGCAGTTAACCTGAAGGACACCAAATTAAGTAGAGCATTGATTAAAGCTGAATTTATTTATTGTTGCAAGAGGAGATGTCAAGTGAGGGCTGTCATTTTTACACTAAGCCAGGTTTTAATTGGATACAGAGTTAATTTAAATTTATCATTATTCATGAGAGACAACTGACCTTGGCTTCACTAAATCATTCCCTTATACACAGTTCCTTTCCTCGGCTCTTTTGATCGTCTATTAGCCCTTGAATTCATCCTCCAGTATTATTAAGATAGTTTGAAACTTTGTTCTCACTCTTGGCTTACAGTACATCTACTTGTCACATGTCTTATCCTCCTCCCCAGATCTGGTCTCCAATTTGTTGTAATCAATTACTAAGGGGAGCAGAGAATTGTTACTTGTTTTTTATATTGGTTCCACTCAGTACTTCAAAACTCATATCAAGTTATGTACAAGAGACATTGCCCATAGAAATACTGATATTTATAAATTAAATCCTAAAATTCTGAGTACATTAGAGGTTTTAGGAAATAGTCTTATTATGAGGAAATCAAAGACAAACAACTAATAATAAAGACCCAATGAGGAATGAACTTTTAGGAAAGGTGAAGGAGATTATTCAGCTTTACATACTAAAAATGTCATGCCTCCTTTCCTTCTCGCTCTGTTTCCTTCAACCAATACCCTATATTGACTGCTTTTCTTGGCTTTTATATTAGGTCCCAAGGAGGAAATAATAAATTCCATCTGGAAACGCACAATAGTCCACTTGGGAGCCCAGGATTCAAGGCCTGATACACACAGGTCCACATATCAATTCCCTACTGCAATATGAAGTGGCCTTGAGCAATGTATTCATTCTACTTAAACCCTAATATTTGAATACTTGCTTAACAGAGATAGGCTTTGTAGTGCATGACAAAGATGTAAGGTCATGTGTGAATCAAACCTTCTTTGTGTATTTGAAAACAGTTTTTAAGTGTCAGCGAGGAATTAAATCTGTGCTTATTATTTATTAAGTATATTTATTTCGAGAAGGTGATTATACTCAAAGCTACATACTTCGAGTTTATGGATATTATTTCACAGAGGAAGGGTTCTGCAAAGCAAATAATGTATGTTGATCATAATTCCTCCTTCTATGATCTTCTTGTTTTATTCCCGCCCTCCTCATTCATTTCACATCTGTGTTCCAGTAAAAGTAATATGGACAATAAAAGGCATGGCTTCTGTTTGTGAGGAGCACATGGTCTTTTCTCAGAGAGGTGGCTTTCAAGATGGCACAGGAAGGCAGGACTGGCTATGGACACACATGTGACTGAGCCTGGGTGGTGGGTACAGAGTATCAAAATTCAGAATGCTGAGATGGCAAGCTATGGTAATTGTCATTTTTATTCATTCTAGTTGGCATGAAAAACAAGTAGCTGAAACAAAACACACAGATGATGAAGAGAAACCAGAGAAGGAGGATCTTGGCATGCCAAATTCCTCAACTTGGAATTTATTTTGTAGGCAGAAAGTCTGGACGTGCTGTGGGCCACCTGATCCACCAAGCATCAACGGAAAGGGTCATCCCTATGGATTCTACTGCAGCAGGTCCAGAGTGAGCCCATCTATTTTAGACAGGAGCAGTGTTTAAAAGGGTTTTCTGGAACTCTTTATTGCAATGGAAAATCCAATTAGCCCAACTCTGACAGTTATTCAAAATGCTGGTTCATTTGCTGTTATGTTTGGAACAGATGGGCCCCCCTTCCCCATTTAAAAAATATGCTAATGGTTTGAGCACATAAACTAAAGTCACCAAGTTGAATTATTGGCAAAATATCTAGATACCAATTGCATAATGTTATTTCTCGGCATATGATCAACTGAATTTCCATGAAGTTCAGTATTAATTTATAAATTGGCTTTCTTACTCACTTCTATTATTATTCTGTGTCACTGCCGTCTTGACCCTGTCTCATCCTCATTCATCAATATGTAGTAGTCCTTTCAACCAGAAGTTACCAACCTGTCCTTCCTTGTGGAATGGTTGCAGCACTCAGCAGCCGAAGCAAACAGACCTGGTAGAAGGAGGCAGTGAGCTAGTGGCCAGTGGCCAGGGTCAATGCTCATAAGCAGCTCATCTTCCTGTATGGTGGGTCTGGAAATAGGGGTAGTGTATAAACTCTCCTAAGAGAAAGGGCCTCATATACTCCATGCCTCAAGTGATTGCTAAACTGTGAAATGGCTGAAAGGGATCATTTAATTCTACAGAGAAGGAGAGAGAGAGAGAGAGAGAGAGAGAGAGAGAGAGAGAGAGAGAGAGAGAGAACGCTACATAGGCTAGGAGAGGCTTCAATGGAGGCCTGACTATAATGATATGAAATCATGCGACCTGTAAAAGTTCCTGAGTTTATACTGTTGTTTGTCTTCTGAGTTCAAGCGCAGGAGGAGCAGGGAGTTAAAGGGAGTATTAAAGCCTAGTAATTACAGAACCACTGTAAGCCAACATACACAGAGCTCCCAAACACGCTAACTTGGTGTCGGGACACATCAGTAAGAGCAGTGCTAAGTGATCAAGAGAATTCACAACCATCCAAGCATGGCGGGCTACTTGAACACTCCCAACAGCCGATGGAGCCAGGAATGGCCTAAAGGTCCAGGAGGTTTAAGTTCCTCCATCTCTCTTTTCTAGTTTGTTCCTTCTCCATTACTGTCATCCTTTCTTTGCTTCCTTCATTGGCCAAGCTACTCTCATTTGGAGACAAAGCAAAAGAGAGGATGACTCTTCTAAATGGTCAGGAACCCTTAGAAGCTTCTTGAAGGAAAGGGGATCTTGACTAAATTGTGAAACCAGGAAGGGGAGAAGGGTTTCATCTTGGGATTGTCTAGAGCCACCCACTGCGTTGTTGGGTGTTGTATACATCTTCCTGCCTAGAAGTGAGAAAATGGACTAAATTATATTTTGGTGTCCTTTTGGTCCCACCTGTTATTGTTCTGTGAAACGGCCATCATTAGCAGGGGTGGGCAGCTGTTGTCCAACAGCAGCCTCAAGACAGAAAAACCGAGATTTCCTGAAAATGTCATTCACTTCCCAATTAGGCAGTTTTTCATTAGCAATGTATCCCTACAAATTATGTGACTGAATTAAGGATAATGAACTCAATTGCGTGTTTGTTATTAATCAGGGCTGAATAACGGATCTTTCTTTTCTATTCTTGGATATTTGGGACAATAGTCAAGCGGCAATAACGACTGCATCCTTCCCCGCTCCCAGATGGTAAATATTTATAAATCTCTTCTGGAAAAGGTGCCCCATTGCAGAGATGTGGTGTAATTAGCAGGCTATTTTGGTTGTTAGGAAACTGAGACACAGACATTTGTGCCATTAATGATTTAATACCCAGACCAGTTGTTGTCGTAATTTACACAACAAGGGGAAATTACAATCATATTATAGCAGTCAGTCAGCTGTAGCTGTTGCATAAGCCTTCCAGACTTGTAAACACAACCTCTACTTAAAAAAAAAATGATGTTTCGATGTTTCTTCATTTTATTGTCATGTTAGCTTTCAATATTCTGAAATGAGCAGCTAATGTGTTTAGTCTAATCTCAGTGGTGTCACTTTCCCTTGCTGCTAGCTGAAAGTTGAAGATTTCAAAATGGAGGAATAGAAAAGAATTGCAAAACATGCAATAGTATACATGTCTTCTATATGCCTGGCATTGTGTCAGAGTTGTTAAAACTTGACTGAGTTATTATTGCTGGGAAATAAACTCATACTTGTTATTTACCAGTAACTTACCGTGACCAGGAATGTATAAGTGCTGGGAGAAATGAAGGAAACTTATGAGGATATACATGTGTTTCATCCTTTGGTTTTTCATACACTAATTTTATTAGCCAGTTGGGCAGACTAAGACTCATAAGATGCATGTGGAGGAACCACTAAAAGATAATCAAACACCATGCTATTCATATATAGAGATTAGAATAATATAGATAAAGTAATATACATTATATCTTTCATCTATGAACCTCTATCTCTGTCTGTCTATCTATCTCTCATCTCTCTCATCTATCTATCTATCTATCTATCTATCTATCTATCTATCTATCTATCTATCTATCTATCATCTATCTATCTCTATATATCATCATCTACCTGCATCCATCTGTACATTGGTCATTTATTTATTGCCGTTTGGCAAAGAGCTACCCATGGGCTGCATTGCCTGGGCAAGGAGCACCACATATGAGCTGAAGAGCTTGTGGGAGGCAGCAGAGCTTGTCCACCTCAATGCCCTCACCCCTGCTTTCGGGATGTCACAAGAACTAAAGCAAATCCATACCATCCATTGCTACTTTCTGTGTCCCACATAAGTAGAGGAAGCCTTAGGAGCAAAGACGTGCAAGACTTGCTCAATCTCAGGTAGTTCATGGCTATGTTTTCAAGTAGTTGGAATTTCTAGAGTCCTGGCACAGTCCACTTACCGGTGAGGATGAAGCCTTCTCTGAAGCGATGACCGTGCCGTGTGCTGAGTCACGGCATAGAGTTAATTTCATGGAGTCCTCTACTTAGATGGCAGTGGTATGAATGAATGAGAAGGAAATGGTTACAACCAACAACCCAAGTTCCTGATATTGGCGTTGATCCAAAACTCTCATCCCTAAACAAATTTCTTTTTTATACCAGTATTATGTTTTGTGGCCTTAAAATGGCAGGCATTAGAATAACAATGGGAAAATTTAGCAAACAATTTGGCGATTTGAATTAACTGAATTTTAATTGGTGGGAAAATGGCCATATGAAACTGACCTGTCTTTTACATATAACTAATCCTAATTAAAGCTTATTAGGGAGAATCTTTGAAATTATAACAAAACACCTGAAGATTCTTGTCATTCCTTCTAAGTCTCCTGGTCACTTCCCAAGTGCATTTTGGGCTTATTAATTTTCCTATGTACACTAGGGTTTTTTTGGTTTTTTGTTTGTTGGTTGGTTTTGTTTGTTTGTTTTGTTTGTTTGTTTTATAGCTGTCCTGGAGGGTAAGGGGCACAGCTGGCCTCATGTGTGGCCCAGCCTGACTGTGGATGCAGAATATACTCACCATACTGCTTGTATTTGGTATGTCCCGAAATCTGTCCAAAGTCTGAAACTTCTGATTGAGTTCCTGAAACAACTCCATGTGTCTCTTCCTCGTGTGCATGACCTTCTGCAAGAGAGAACAGGGCGGCTTGCATTCCTAATGTGACTCACATGTTCTTAAAAGCTGTCTTGTACTAAGGGAAGCTAAACCAGGCAGGAGCCAGGAGTCCCCAAAGACACCACCTATGCAAATGACATGTCCCACATTTTTTCCTATTCCTATTTTGTTTTTCTGAGAAAGAAGGGCTTTTTCTTTCCTCTCACAAGATTACAAAAAAAAAAAAAATTCTAAGTTTCTTCTTCTCATGGGTGCATTAAGACACAGTCATCATTCTTGTGTAAAGATTTTCATCCCTTAAAGGTGAAGTCTGTTCTGCAAAAAAAATGTTGCAGCAATTTTAAAATGTTAAAAATTTGGACTTTGTGAAGCTCACGAGTTCTTGATGTTTGTCCTGGGAAATATTATGTCTTTATGTCTTACTTCTATAGACAGTGCAAACATAGCTTGCTGCACTAAAGGGGAGCATCATCCCAGGCCCCGCTGTTAATGCGACTCGTAGCTCTGAAGCGCCCGAAAGATGTGTGCGATCTAAGACCGTGCACTCTCCACGTGAATAACCGCTGAGCTTTGCAGAAGGGAAATCTGGCCCATAGGTTTCATATACTTGTTTACCAGATGGTGCAGTATCTTAGCAGTCACGGTTCGGAGCACACATTGTGTGGCCGATGAGCTATTAAAATCCCAGGTACAGTTACGTGCCTTTCTTTCAACTTCATTATAACCCAACAATGGGCTTGTAAGCAAAAATGATCTTGGGGCATTTGGGGCATTTGACTATTTTCCTATTATAAAACATTTAAAGGGCACTAGTAGAAAAGTCAGAGAATAAATTCTCTGTATTTACAGGTGCTGTTCTGCAGTGATGTTGATTTTCAAAAGTTACGAATCAGCATCTTGGTCACTCTCCAGGACTCTGCAGTTATGTTTAAGAGTCCACAGCATTTTAAAACCTAAACATCTGAACACCATTTGCTTGTGTGGTTTTAAGGAGGCTGTTAGGTCTTATGTCTGGGCTCTGATTTTAACTTTTGGCTCACTGCTCACTGTCTTAGCTAGCAAACATTTTCAGCTGTAAGGATTTGTTGAGAAAATAAATACATCTTTTGGGGTAAGATTGGCAACTCTTAGGGCTTTTTTGTTGTTGTTGTTATTGTTTTTTTTTCCTAAAAAAGATGCTTACAGAGGGGACAAACAGGGAGAAGGACAAATGGAAAGTTAAACCGAATCTTATTACAAAATTCCACCCCCTCTGCCGACTTCGGTTTCCTAACCTCAGGAGTAGGACCTGGGTAACTTGACTGTTGGGCTAGGGTCTTTTGTTTTCCCGCTGCCTTACACTCATGTGAGAGAATCCTGCCATTTTAAGACATGCAAAAACCAATTTCCATCTTGCTGCTGGAGCTCTAGGACTTGGCTGTTGAAGAATCAGGTGGTTGAGGATGAGAACACGGCAGCATGACTCATGATGGAACGTGAAACATAGCAAGCAATTACCGCGCCATTAACTTCCCATCCTTCTCAAAGAGAGTACACGAAAACAGGCTTGTGGGGTTCAGAGAGAAACACCAGGCAAACATAATTTGGCTAGTGATGGCTGATGGAGATTTATGAGAGTGAAGATTTGCATAAGCAACTTGGTGAAGGGATTCTGAGGACCACGTAGCTGGCAAGGTAATTCCGCGTATCCTGTGCTCAGTAGGCAAATAGTTCTATGAAGTACCAGGTCCTAAGACACTCATTGAATTATGGCCATGGGACACAGATAATGCTTCAAAAAACAGCTACATTTTCATAGTAATGAACATTTTTTCGCAGTCATTTTCTTCTGTGTAGGAGTGACGCCATACTAACATCACTTCCCTCAGAACATTTTACTGCACCGTTTAATGTATTCTGATGAATGCCTCACAGTGTGCTAAATGCTAGAGTAACAATGGCGAAAAAAATAAGGCTAAATTACTGCCTCCTATTATGTCAAAGTCTAATGAGAACACCAGAATTAATTGCATTGTAATCCCAATACATGGAAATTTGTGGCTGTGATTAAATACATGAGGATGCTATATAAATTAGGGAGGAACTATGGGGAATACAGATAAGACAATCTCCAAATATTTACAAGTTCGTATTTAAGTTAAAAATAATTAATTATGGTTCTGATTGTCTATATCTTCCCCTCTCTCACACTCTGTTTTGAGAACTCTGATTTCTAGCTCATTTTCCACCCATGCTCTTGAATCTCTTCTTGGTGAAACCATCCCTCTTCAAAGACAAGCACTGCATTGGCCTCAAGCTCCTGACACCAAAGGCGCAGCATTTTTGCTACAGGCATTTGATGACTGTGGTTCAGGCGGCTTCGTTTATCCTTTACCTTGTGAGCTGATTTTACTGTGTTTCGTGTGAGTTTTCTAGGCTCATGTTGCTAGCAATCAAATTTGCTACTCTTCCCTGGCCAAGAGCTAAATGGGTCCGTATCTTTCTAGCAGGAATCTTTCTGTGTGCGTTTGTGTCTTGTTCAAAGTCTTGTCATGATTCTTGCAACCGAATACCTTTGTTTTATAAAGAACGTTTGAAAAGCAAAGTCTACGTCAAGCGTCTCACTGGGAAACTTGATACCTTACCAGATTGGAGGGTTTATGGATATGGTCTGTTTGAAGGAGCAGCACTTGATTCTGAATTTGATGGGCTTTATTTAAAAAAAAAAAATCAGATTGGTTGGACACATTAAAAATATACAATGGAAAATATAAAGGTATGGTGGCTGCCAGTGCTATATAAACAGAGATCATTTTGAATATTTCACATAGTTCCATGAGAGGTATTCTAATAATAAAGCTAAAATACCCTGCAATAAATAGGGAGGGAAATGACAATTTGGATGCTGAAATATAGAGCCTTTCCTACTTGCAAAAATTAGTTGCAAATATATTCTCTTGCCAAATGATCATTCTGAATTGAAGCGGCCACCATGGTACTGCCAGAAACACCATAGCAATAATAGCCTGCATTCTGGAAGAGCTATCAATTATAGCTGCAGTAAACAGCTCCCATCTCTGACCCAGTCTCAGCTTGGCTTTCCCTACATCATTCCTTCTTTTTCATTGTCTCAGTACGTCTTTCTACCTTCATTGTGAATGAGAGAGGTTCCTTCAATAAGAATGCCAGCTTTACAAGAGGATGTTGAAGAATTTCTATCCAGTGATGCTCTGGGCTGGAAACTTAGCTACACTTTCAGCTTTTACAAAATATTAAGGGTTTCTTCCCTTTTCCTGCTTCAGAAACTTTTCATTTGTAGCATTTATACTTTTGGTGATCTTAGACACTTTGGTAGATTTTTTTCATGCTTATACAATTCATCAGTCCATTTTAATGGCTCTTCCCAGATCGTGGCTAACCTAAGGCTTTGTGTAGTTCTTTCTTTCTTTTATGACTTAAATATCCTGTTTTTCAAAGAAACCAACTTCTTAGAAAAACTCAATTTTTACTTCAGTTTTTGAAAATCTTAAAACGAGGGTAAAACTCTAACATGTATTTAACATGTACTTTCTATGTAAAAGCACAAAAATACAGTGTTTGGCAATATCTTCAGAATTTAGTTGCTTTCATCATATTTCACTGCAAATACTGTAGGAGTGTTTTTCAATAAAAATCAGTGCATCGTAATATTTCTTTCCACTCAGATTAATATCATTTAACATTGTTTTGAAAGATTCATGAACCTCTATCCAAGATGATCGCCAGTCTAACCACATGTATATGCTCTCCCAAGCAGCTTGGTTCTTTATTTCTTTTTCATTTTTCATTAAAAAACATTTAACAGAAACAGCAACGACAAACAACACCACCACCAACAAGACCTCTGAGTGTCAGAAACTCAGTTTACACTTTTATAACAAAAGAAATGCACCCTTTGGGACCTGTCAGTAATTGATATTAGAGAAATAGCGATGTGTTAACAAGCGCACTTGTAATAACTTGGAAATTTTTTAAAACTGAGATTATAAGGTTGCCTGATGTCTTAAACACGTACTATATCTTAAGAATTCTTGAAGACCCTTTAAATTCTTAGACTATGCCAAGTCTGATAGCTCTAGACCTGTGGAAATTCCATTAATTTCAAGTTTCATGGCCTGAAGTAGGAATTCCAGTCTCCCTGTGGTTGCAGCTTCAGCAATGAGGCCTACCTGCTAGGGCTGTCATGAAGATTTTACAAAGGATGTAGAATACTTGACATATGACCACATAGACAAGAGCCACCTATGATGAGGCGGCCAGTATTTTCTTCCTAATGCCTCACAGTAACTCTGGGAGGCAGCAGCCATGACCTCTACTTCATTGGCTAGGATGCTGAAGCTGAAGGAGGCAGTTTGCTCTTGCAAGAGTGCATGTTTCTATCTTAGATGTATTCCAGAGATTCCGAAAGCATCCTGCTAGAGACTGCTGAGGGTCTTAAATTATGCTCTGTTCAGATGGGAGAAGAGAGAACTAGGAGGGTTTCTGCATCCTCCATAGCAGGCCCTACCTCTCCAGATATTGAGTAGCTGAAACTATTTTGCAGCGCTGCAATGATGTTTCTAAAGTGGGCACTCATGGTTCTCCCTCAGGACACCTCCTAGCTGGTGATCTCTTCCTCTATGCATCCTTGGCACGGAACACACTGTCTGGTACTCAGGAGCCGCTTAGTGAATGTTAGCTGAATGAATGAAATCAATGGGATGGCATGGGCACATCAGCAAGGGTGATCCCTGCATCATGGAAAACTACTATAAATTTTATCATCTCCTCCCATTAAAGACATTTCTCTATTGGAAGGAATATTTACTTTAAAATTTTAAAATTATTTTCATATTGTGTGCACATATGTGTGTCTGCGTGAGGGTATGTGTGTATAACTACAGGTGCCTGCTGTGGTCAGAAGCATTGACTCCCCCCATTCTCCAGTACTGGAGCTCTAGGTGTTTGTGAGCCATGGGTGCTGAGGCTCAAGTAGCACTTGTGCTAATGACTCTAGGCAGGAGCCCTGTCTTCTCATTCTCATCCTGTTAGGCATTTCTACCCTCTCCGTAAGTGGTTTTGAGGAGCTGACAGTGGCTTTGCAATGAACTGGTGATTTTCGCTTTCCAATTCAGAAGTGTGAATCACAGAGCTGTGTTTGAACTACAGAGAAAAAGCCTCAGATATAAAAAGAAGATGTACTGGTACGTATGGATTCTTAACCCTGATGGGAATTGTTAGGAGATGTCAGACACTCTTCGTTCACCTTAGAGCACAGGGCTGGAGAACCTGTGCTCACACGAACTAGAAACACGTTCGGTGAGTCACCATTTCCAGCCTTCGAATTTTATAGACCTACATTGCTATTGTCCATATCCATCTGTAGCTTTGTTCATTAGTGCTCTGTTCATTCACTCTCGCGAGAGCGGCCTTTGGAAAATGATCTTTAGAGAATGCCAATACTCATATTGACTTTTAAAAGAGGTGCAGGTTGAAGGGGTTAAGCCTGTTGCTAGAGGATGGTGATTTATGGTCCGTTACCAGGTCAGAGTATCAATACATTCACAAGATGGAAGCTGCATCCTGGAATTTTGCCCATATCTGGCTCCAAATATGTGATGATTTGGACAAAAACATACTTTGGTTTTCATATAAACTGTACAGAGGGTATATATAAGAAAACCGAACAAGTTATACATTTTGTCATTGCCCCTCAAGAGTAGGCTTGCTTATAAGTGCATGATTTTGAAACAGTTTAAATTTAATCATATGGAAGAGATGGATACAGTCTAGGATTAAATTGCTCAAATTGCTTGCCCTCCAAACGTGTCCTAAAAAATACGCCCTGATTGCTTAATGGATTGTACCTGCTGTAGGGGGTCAGGGACAAAGCAGGGAGGAACCTGTTTTGAACGAGACAGTTTTTGAAATAATATGCCTTATATATTTAGAAATTAATATAAGCTACATGTTATAGCTTAGCCTTGTTTCTAATGATATCAAATTATTCTAAATGACTCTCTCTAACATGCCCCTAATTCTTCCAATAAAAGTCAAGCCCTGTGAAGAATGGCTCCATTATCCAACATCTCAGTCTGTCCTCACTCCCTGCTCATGACCATTGATGAAATTCATGGATTTGGTGGCTCTGTGGGGTTTCTCTGAACCTTCAGAGAAACATCCTAAGATATTTTAAAGAATACATTATTCAAGTGGAGGAATGAAACAAGGTTTCTGATTGTGTTTTTGGGAAGAGAAGACTTTAAAAAAATCTCTCTCTATTTTTAACATGGAACAGATATTATTATTCATTACAGTGTTATTGAGGTTATTTGTAATTGTGTTTCTAGGAATTCCTTGAGCTTTGTCTCCTCCACTAATACCAGCTTTAGCTGCTTGATTCTGAGAATCACTTTAGGCACCTCCACACCAACGTCACACTGGAACTCATCCTAACCAGATGTCTATTCTTTTTCTTGGTTCTGTTCCCCATACATATAAAAATGCAAGCCCATAATGTAGGCATCTTTGTCCTGCCTTTCCATACCCCATTCAGTTATTGACCAGACTTCACAGGTTCCACCTGTCATGGTCAGTTCTTCATTCCCTTCCTAGGTTAGCCACTTTAACTGATATTTCAATCTTCTTGTTTTACCCTATCAATCTATTCAGAATATTACCAATAAAGTCACCTTTAAATTATTTTCCGGATAGTAACAAGTTACTCCCTACTAGTAAACAAATAAAAAGGCTAAACAAAATTCAGTCAGACAGGCTTAGCAGCACGTTAGGTAAGAACTTCTTTTGGAGGTGTAAGATTTTAAGGTACACTGTTTATTTCTTTTCCATCGACCTTTGTTTAAGAGAATTCTGGCTATTGTTTTGTGAACGTGCCACACTTTAGCCAATCTCCCTGCAGTCTCTTCCCTCTGGAGTTTCAACCTGCCCTTCCCATATTCGGGTTATGTTTGATGTGCCCATCTGTGCAATCCAGAGAGGAAACTTCTGAAGTGCTGCCTCCGTACTTGCTTGCTTAGTATACTAGTTTTTGCCTTAACTCATGTTTCATTCAAAAGCTTTTTTGTTAAAGCAAACACCATTGAAAATCAGCTGGAATTTAAATCATTCATTCACTCATTCCACAAAGAAACATAATGAGTGTTCAGTGTATATCAGGATCCCCGCTGAAGGTGGAACACAAACCAAGGAATATGTCGCATAACATAGAAATAGCGTTATCATATTTTCTGTATACTTCCCAGAGAGCAAGAATTATTAGTCTTTCTCTGTTTTATAGCTCGTCTGCCTTTTGGGTTATTAGTGCAGGAATGCAGTATGATCCTGGAGGCTGTCAGTCTGAAAAAAATCTTTTCTCCACCTATAGTAGCCAACCATTTTCAGAAGTTATTATTTTTTACCGTCGTACAACAATTAGATCTCAGCATGACGTTTTCAATCAAAATTTGTGTTTGCTTTCCTCCCTCATTTCACTCCTGATCTCCTTCCCCCTGTGTATCTGCCTGCTTTCCTATGCCAAGTGTCTCCGTGTGACACCTAATCTCCCCTATTGTGGTCCTCTATTTAGTGTCGTCATCTATACCGTCACACCCCCTTATTTACATGCATAAAAATATTAAAAGTTAGAATGTGCATATATTTTTTCTTAAAAATGTGTTTTTTCTTAAAAAACTCTTCCTGAGTCACCTCCCTTAATGTAATATTTTCCAGATCCATCCATTTTATTCCGAATTTCATTCCTCCTTATGACTTAATTTTATTAAGAAATTCCATTGTGTGTATGCACCCCACTTCCATTCCTGTGTGGACGGATATAGAGTCTATATCCATTTCCTTGCTCATATGAACAATGTGACAGTAAACATGGGACAAAGAGGGCTTTGGATGTATGCCTAGGAGTGGTGTAGCTGGCTCAGGCTGTAGGTCTGTTTTAAATTTTTTTGAAGAAGTCCTCATGTAATAGCGAATGATCAATAAGGGAAAAGTGATGTCTGAGTATTCCCCCGCCCCAAGCTTCACCTCCTGCGGTAACCATGCGATGATGATAGTAGTCAAAGAGGTGAGGAAATGGCACAGTTCTATGCTGCAGATATCTTCGCTAACACTACGGTTCTATGTTTGGAATACTAGGCATAGCATCTGCTTGCTAGCGGTTGCCATAGAGAATAGAAGGAAAAAAAGAGCAATTTTCTCCTAACGTTCTCAGTGACACAGTGTGGTTTAATTTGTTCCCAGTTTTGTTCAGACCATATAACCCTGGCTGGCCTGGAAATTTCTATGTGGTTCAAGTTGGCCTTGATCTTACACAGATTCACCTCCCGAGTGCTAGGATTTCATCTCCCTGTTTGGTTTTGCTATTACCTAACTTGTTGGCTGTGGTTAGGCTTGATGTTAGATCTAGGTTTTTACTGTGTCTTGTCATGGAGGTCTAGTGAGTTCACTCTTTTGGAATAACATAATGGATTATTACTTTCAGGACTACACACACACACACATACACACACAAATTTATGTAGCTACAAGAAAGGTGATGCTGTACACAACATATACAAACCATATGCAAACAGATACAGTTTGCTTCTTTATTCCTTTGATACCTAGAGGGCTAACACAGTATTTTTCCCATAAAGGACACAAAAGACTCAAATGTGGAGACTGATAAATATTTTTTCTTATGAATTTGGTACTTTTTGGTTAAAATTTTAGGCTTCAGTGAAATACAGATTTTGTGCTAGGTGACTATGATGGAGCTGCCTAGATATTTGTGATTTAAGCATTGAAGCTGGATTCTTTATCATTATTTTGTGGCATATACCTCGAGTTACTACTAAACAACATTTTCCTGGGGCAGCATCCTTCACCATAGTGACAGATACAACCACTAAGGCACACATTGATGTGTGCTGTACGCTGTAGAAACACAACGCCTACTCACACAAATGAAAAGATTGAATCAAAAGTTTCCATATTCCAGGAGGCACCTATAATTTTGGAGATATCAGTTAAAATATTGAGTTCTGTGTATGCGTCACAAGGGTACAAATATGCTGGAGAAATTTATCATATATTATACCCAATTATGTCAGCGGGCTATGAATCACATCCAATTATCAAGATGCATAAGTGCATTTATGTGATACTTAACATTAATTTTGCGCTGAGCACAGGCTGCATAGACAGCATCATTTTAGTGACTTCCAACATCACTATCACGGCATCAATATAAATTCAATGCAAATTGGAAAATGAAAATCTCCATCTTGTTTATATCTGTGAAAAGACATCTACTAAACACAGGCATGCACTGAATCAACACTAGCTATTGGGAGAAACAGAGTTTGAATGTACCACAGAGAATCTCAGGACAGGAACCACTGCACAATACAGGCCAGTCTCGGACTAAGCATTGCTGGCCAGCCAGTGCATTCCCTTGGGATTCCCACAGGTGGGCATTGAAGTCAAACTGGACCAAAATGGCTTATGTTAAAAAAGAAAACAAACAAACAAAACCCCAGGAAATTGGCATTCCTATTTCACAATCAACAGGTTTGACCAGTTAACTTCTAACTATAAGTTGTCTACTTTTACCTATTATAAAGTAGACCTTTACTTGTCTAGAAAATGTCCTTAGAGGAGTAACTAGAAGTCTAAACCATTTACTTCCAACCATGTAGAGAGGAAGGATCCTAATTTCAGAGCCCTGACTTCCTGAAATAATGATTACACAATGGCAATACCATATCCACAGAGCTACAAACGGTGCTGCGCTTGAGTAGTTACAAATCAATCTTGAGTTAAATAATTAAAATTATAAAGCAATTCATGGGGACTTACCTCAAAGTCAAGGTCGGAATACCGTGATTTTCTTCTCTGTTTGTTTTTAGAAGAAGGAGAAAAGCAACAAAGTTATGTTTAGTCAGTTAAACCAATAGAAGTCATTACATTCTATGAAAACAATCGCACTTGCTCTTCACCTTATGCCATTTCATTAAGATTACTTTTCTGATTCCGAAATTTTCCATCTACATGTTTTTGTCACCCCGAACTTCCTTGAAAAATTGAAGGCTAGAGAAACACAGACATTTTCCACCGTGAGTTCTGACATCAGTTGTCAGTCAGTAAAGCTGCGTCTCGGGAACATTCCATCTGCCTTCAGTCTTGAAAGAGACGCTAGTTTTAGCAAAAACCACTTTGCAGGCATGGGGGATTAGAAGTTGTATCAGAAAAATAATCTAGGAACGTTGACACCTCCCACCAACCGATAGCCAGCTTATTTTTTTAAACAGGCTCTTGTAATGTTGCTCAGGCTCTTCTCGGCACTTTGGGTTTATCTTGCCTCAGCTTCTGGGGTGCCGAGACCTCACCCTCATGTCAAGCAAACTCTGTCTGCCTGCCTGTCTAAGTTCTGAAGCTCCTAATGTCAGTCTTGTACAAACTTCTCAGAATGAGATCATCTCCTCTCCTAGTCCTTCTTGTTGCTAGTTCTTAAGAGCCAGACAATATATATATATATTTTTTTTAATTCCGATTTCGTCAAACCACTGCTATTCCACACCCTAACACCGTGTCTGGCAGTGTTTCTCTCTGACTCTAAATCTGTTAAACAACATCCAAAATCGAGTTACAGATACTCGGGCATTGATGAGATAAAGCAATTAGGCAGTGGGCTTGATAAAATCAGGAAATATGATTAAAACAGAATGAAAGCAGGCCCCTGTGAGGATGCGGCTTTCGTGATTATTAATATGGGGGGCAGTATTTTTAGCATCTGCTCCAGGGACCCACCAGTTCTTAAAATGGATGAGCTGTAGAGGGAGAGGCCTGTAAATGTCTAAAAAGATCCCCGCATTTCTAGAGAACAAAGCAAATCTCTGCCGTGCTTTTTCTTTAAGTGGACTCCCCGCCTCTCCTTGAAGGGGGCGAGGAAGAAGCATAAGGGAGATATGCAAACCCTTTGGGCAGGTTCCGTTTTGTTTTTTGTTTTTTCCCTACTCCCAGCTCAATCCCCAAAACCTTAAAGTCACTAGCTTCTCAGGCTTCCGTCCCCCTGCGGATTCATGGCAGCTCTAGTTGCTGTTATGACTGTTGCTCGCTAGGAAAGACAAGAAAAGGACTCGTGAAACGCGATTTTCTGCAGCTAGCGCTCTAATTGTCATTAGAAAACCAGACCCTCCTGTGCAGCCTACCCTCAGGAGCACGTGTCAGCAGACAGAAGGGCTAAAGGAGGAAAGAGGGACCGTTCGGATGCCGTCTCATTGGGGTGGAGCTGCTGAGCGCCAGGGAATCCACTATGAATAACGGGGAGAGAGCAGGAAGGGACACGCCTTATTGAAATGGAAACTCAAACACGAATGCTCTCTTATTTCTTCCCTGTCTCCATCAGCATGCTACCTTCATGCTGGTGACATCCCTGGGAGAGGAAGGGGTGTGAGAACATCTCTAAACAGATCTGGCTCTGCACTGCCCTTTGCGGCAGTCTGCGAGACTGAGCGTCAGGGCTTCCATTCTTGGCTCCTAGGGACGCTGGCTCTTCACAGCACTGTGATTCAGCAAGGCACTTTTTTTTTCTTTAATAAACATGTGTTAAGCAAAACTCTTTATAATACAGAAAATCTAGGCATGAAAACATTTAGTTAAAAGCAGTTATTATGAAACATTAGTCAGGAGCTTCGCATTCCTTCTGAAAATGAACCGGTGGAATCTTGCAAAAGAGGTTCAGCCAGCTAGAAGGAGAGAGCCTTCTGCTGCATGCTCCGAGGGCCTCTCTGCTGCCAAAGGTGAAAACGGCCATATGTTACCGCATTTGTTTCGGATCACAAGGCACTGCTGCCTAGGAACTGGAGATTTCGGTGCAGGCATGCTGCAAAAGGCTCCATGCTGTAGGAACTAAAGGGAACGACGGGAACCTAAAGAACCCAGCACCAGATTCCAGCCTAGAATCCCAAGGCCGCCTATGTCTACACGCCCCAGGGAAAGGGAAACAGATGTTCCTACAAACGGCACTCTCCTTCTCTCTTTTCTCCTATTCAATTTCATTAAAATTCGAGCCAAACAAAGGGCATAGCAAGTCTGGCAGTCTCCAAGATTAGATGAAGGCATGAGCAAATGAATCACACAGATTTTAATCCAAACCCGGTGGGGTGGTGGGGAATGGTTACTACATCAATCAGGGAGGTTAAAAGATCAGCTAGTATGGGGAATGTGTCAGGTGTTTTAAGTCCAAAGGGAAAAAAGGGGCGCATGCCTATTCACGTCCCCCTAAAACTGAGTGCTTCAACCTTGTGCATCTTATAAAGTGATTTCACATTTGAACATGATAACCACTCTGTGGAACTGTCGGAAAATAGTGTTATTTTATGAATGAGTGTAACTGAGAAGCAGTAGTTTGACCCAGAAGGTAATCAAGTGAACAGTGCTGAAAACTGAGGTCTGATTATAAGTCCAGTGTTTTCCATGTGAGGTCTCTCCCTAGCTCAGATATACAGAATGAGAGCTGACCAACAAGATGTCTGGGCTATTTTGCATACTGTTCTGGAACTGAGCAAAAGTCACAGTGTGTTAGGGTAAAATCAAACCAAAATAAAAAAATTATGTGATATCATTCTTCTAGACCAGTTATGAGCAATGCTACAATAAGAAACAGATGTGACACTTGCTGCTGAAAAGGTCAGTTATCTATGTGTCGGGCCCTGACACATTGGCTGTCCAAGGGGGGAACCAGAAAAATACCAACCAATTTTGTTTCTGTGTGTGTCTACCCCGTGTGCATATAGGTGCAATGTTTGGGAAAGTCTTTCAAGGCTGAAGTTTGCTGAGACTGTGATTCACCTCTGTGCTTACTCCAATGTTCCTCTGAGCCTTGTAGAATGCTGCTGTAAGGCATGAGAATGGCTAGAAATATTGACTGTGTTTGTATTTCTATTCACATGTGTGTACACATGTTCCTGTGTGTGTACACATGTGTGTGTGTGGGGGGGTAGAAGACCTCAGGTGTCGCTCAGATACTGTCCATCCTCTGTTTGTTTGTTTTCTGTCTTCCCAGTGTTGGGGTTATAAACATGTGACGCTGTGCCTGGCTTTTTTTTTTTTTAGGTGGGTGCCAGGGACTGAAATGGAGTCATCATGATCACAATGCAAGTACTTTCCTAACTGACACATGCCCTCAGCTCTGACCATACATCTAAACAAAGAGAATCAACCAAGTATTCGACCCACAGGATAGTTTTTGGGGGAGGGGGAGAAGGGTGGGAGGAGGGGGAGGGAAATGGGAGGCTGGGAGGAGGCGGAAACTTTTTTTTTCTTTTCCTTTTCTCAATAAAAAAAGAAAAAAAATAATTTGATAACTAAAAAAAAATTACATGTAAAATTAAAGCAAGCCGATGTGATGTGACGTTAAATTTTGGTGAAGATACGAGTCTCCCTGCCTACAAAGCCTACATTTCGAGGGAACTTAAACCTCATCCTTCTTTCGGATGGGGTTTCCTTTTTTGCAGTCCTCCACTCAGAACTCATCCCAACTGCGTTATGCTTTTAACACTCCATTAAAATTCTTGTCAAAGGCCTTTAATGAGCTCCATTTGGACAAACAGCAAGGTCAATTTTCCACCCTCGTCTCCCTGGACTTTCAGAAGCTGGAGAAAGTTAATCACTTTTTCATTAAAGCTCTCATCAGCTCTCGGCTTTTTCTTTCCCCCCTTTTTTTCTTCTTTCAGTTACTATGGCTCCTTTTGAAATCGCCTTTTGCTGGCTGTTTCCTATGCCTGGTCTTTCTAAATGTGGAGCTCCTGAGATCTGTTCCGTCCTGTATGCTCTCCTGGATGACATGGCTTACCCCTTAGGTTTTAATACTACCTTCCAATAGGCAAATATCCTTTTTTACATGGTCGTTCTTATCACAGATAATACTAATAACTAGTCAACCAAGACAAAGTCTCAGAACTGTCCCTCCTATACACATACCCCTCATCTTCCGTATTAAATCCACTCCTGGATTGTGTATTTGATCTCTGAAATGTACCTACCTGTCTGTCCCCTCTTTTGCCACCTACACGCTTGCCTCGTTAGTCCTATTTAATCAGAAGTGTAGCCTTAGCATTTGGAAGAGGATATGTCACAACAGCTTGTGGCTGCCAAATTCTTGACGAGTGATTGGAGGAGTGTAATATGACAGCCCCAGAGCTTAAACTCATGTGACCTTTGTTTTATTGTTACAGTCTTAAAGAAGGATCTGGATAACCAAGTGACCTACACACAGAGTAGACTGGCAACGGAAAGAGTCAGAACAATTGATTGGGAAAGCATTTTTTTTTTTTTTTTTTTTTTTTTTTTTTTTTTT